AACCCAACAATAAAAAAAGAGAGAGGGTTCCTTTTGATTAATTTATTTGCAATGGTTAATTAAATTAATTAATATTAATTAATTTTATTAATTCTAATTAAGTTCTTAATTAACCTAATTAAGATTTAATTGAGATAGTGAATTATGTTTAATTAATTTAATTAATTATTCAAATGGATTAATTTCCTAACTATTCTATTTATATTCCTTTTTCTTATTATTATTATTATTATTATTATTATTATTATTATTATTATTATTATTATTTTGAATAAAAAAAATTGGATAAAGAGGGATAGGGAGACTGCTATTGCATTGCAACAGCTACAATTCTAACAACTACTAAGGGTATGGTGCACTTTGACTAACACAGTCAAAACTGCAGGTGTTATTAATATTCATATTAATATTCATTAATTAGTGGGTGAAACTCTACAAATATATATATATATATATATAAATGTAAAAACTGCATATCAATCATAATTTTTAAAATAAATTAAAGTTTTAATTTTAAATTATATCATTTTATTTAATTAAAATTTAATTTAAAATTTTAATTTTTAAATATAAATTAAATTTTTAATTTTTTTAAAAATTAAAATTGATATATATTAATTTATATACACTTTAATTGTTAAAGTCGAGTAACAACTCTATCTCTCGGTTAAACATGTAATCGGCTCGATAACTACAATTTTCAAAATTCTCTCTCTTTTTTTTTCAATAAAAGCCCAAACTTTTTTTTTTACTTTCTTTTTTTTCAAATATCCCAAGTCGTTTTCCCTCTTTGTAGATAATAAATCACTTTTTGAATTGAGTCAAAACCCAAATATAAAATAAGTTGAGTTAAAATCCCAAACTTAAAAGTATGCAATTATGTTTTTCTTAGAGGTTGTAAAGTGCATATATATTCTTCATGTGTAATTATACCTTTAAATTTTGACGTTTGTGCAGGCTATTTTGAATGGTTTATTTTACTTCAAAATTTATATGAGTGGTGACTTTAAAATTTTGGATTTCACACTTAATTTTTCACAATTTTTGAAATTTTAAGTAGGCTGCCAACACACACTTGATTGGATCTATATGGTAAAATCTTTAAATTTCTTGGTATGATTACTTAACCCCCAAAACACAACAAAACAAAGCTAAGGTTGCATGTGACTTTCATTACTAAGATTGATTTTTTTAGATAGATTTTTAACCACTGATGTTCAAGAGCTATCACACCAAAGCTATAAACATAGGACCTAACTAATGGAAAAATTCACATTTAGTAGATTCTCTAGAGCCATATATCCACCAAATATATCCACCAAATGCAGCACCTGAAATGAGGATTTATGTATTTTGGACAACCTGGAAAATATAACTACATGAAATAGAAGAAGGATCATTCATGTTGTATTTCTATTTTCCAAATACTTTTTCACCTGCATTCCCTAGTACTTTGAGTCATCTTCTTGAAAGAAACTTCAATTTGGGCTTGGTAACAGAAATGGAGAAGCAGTAAGAGAGACTGGATTTATCTCCTATGTGAAAGAGAAAACCAAAATATTGTGGATGCCTCTTTGCATGACTTGAATTTCATGTTGAATAAATTACTTATTTACTGTGTTGGGAAATATGTCTGTGATGAACCAGTATTGGGACATCTTCACCTTCCTTTGTATCCTAGAAATAGAAACTGTTCTTAATATAATTTTACAATCATAATTTCTTGTATATGAAGCTTATGAAAACCTTACACAAGTCAATTTGATTGAGATGGAATAAGCCAAGACCATAAAAAATGTTACACTGAAACAGTAAATGGAAGTAATTTTGCTTACAAGAAACCATTACCATATTATACACTGTATCAAATTATACAAGAAGGAAACCAGCACACGAATCAAATCATACATGTATTTTTGTGCTTGGAAGTAGTTCTGCTTACAAGAACTACTATTAGATAGTAGTACATCTAATAACCAAATTCTAACATTATTTTGAACTAGGTTGACAATACGAATCTAATTGTAGCTTCAAATCTCAAAACTATCGAGGATATAACTCTGTGATTGAAACATCATTATTTGAAAAGGGGACAGATTGGTCCTCGGAGCTCTTCGTGTCTGATACCCCTGAATTGTTGCCAAATGAGGACGGCATATCTGTCGTACTGGTGTTGTGCAAAAAAAATGCAGGTTGAGAGGGCACTAGGAGACTAATTGAATTGCTACTAAGCATGAGAACAACTGAAGCCATGGTTGGTCTGTGAGCAACATTTTCTTGAACACATAGCAAACCAATATGGATGCATCTCATCATTTCAGCTGTTGAACCATTTTTTAAAGTTGGATCTAGGAGATTTAATACTGTCCCTTCCTTCCAGTTTTTCCATGCCTGCAAAAAGTTACAAAAGCACACAAACATGAAGCATCAAAGTGAGAACCTGCTAAGATTTGAACTTTTATTTGTCACAAGACAAGAAAGAAACAAAAAATAAGTATAGATTGTTATACTTACATAACTTAGTAGGTCCTCTATGTTCTCCCCAATTCGGAAACAACTATTTTTTTGTCCACTGACAATTTCCAAAAGTAACACTCCAAAACTAAAGGCATCTGACTTTATTGAAAACTGTCCATGCATTGCATACTCTGGAGCCATGTACCCACTACAAGTGTATCACCAACAATGGGATCATTTTCAATATAAAAAATGATAAACTCATGTTCTAGTATTTTCTTAATGGAAGACATAAGAAAGCCATTCTTGGTAATTTCATGTAGCCAATAAGGACCAGAGCTAATTGGACATTTATTTGTATAAAAAATAATTCAAAGTTTTACTCTTTTTAATACTTACTAAGTTCCCACAATTCTACTGGTATCACCATGTGTTTCATCTCTTACAACCAATCTTGCCATGCCAAAGTCTGCAATCTTAGGATTCATATCTTCATCTAATAAAATGTTACTTGCTTTGAGATCACGATGAATTATTCGAAGACGAGAATCCTCATGCAAGTAAAGGAGGCCACGAGCTATGCCTTCGATGATTTTGTAACGGATTTCCCAATTCAGTTGTGCACGCTTGATTGGATCTATATGTTCATATATAGTTCATATGAGAGTATGTCACTAACCAAAAAAAGAACCAATAACTAGGATATGAATTTAAAGAGGTTGAGGGCTTCGCAGATGACCAAAACACAAATGTGTAATCCCCTCAAACACGCAAACTCAATATAATTATTTATGAAAAGAATTGAAATCTGAATCGCGAGAAAAATCTAAAAGGCATGCACATACCAAAAATGAAATGATTAAGGCTTGTGTTTGGCACAAACTCGTAGATGAGAAGCCTTTCATCTCCTTCCAAGCAGAAACCAAGGAGTCTGACCAAATTCCGATGTTGAAGTTTGGCTACTAAAAGGACCTCATTTTTGAATTCTAAGTCTCCTTGTCCTGAAGCACTAGACAACCTTTTCACGGCTACTTCTTGTCCGTTCGGAAGCTTGCCCTATATATAAAACAGAGCAGTACTAACTAAATTTATGTTCAATTAATACCAAATTTCAAGCTAATTCAATAGACCAAGACGTACTATAATTATTGTTCTCTTCTGATTCATAACATCATTACCTTGTAAACCGCCCCGAATCCTCCCTGTCCAAGTTTATTTTCATCACAGAAGTTATAAGTTGCGGCCCGAATGGTGGCTAAGTCATATTGCAAAGACTCGGTCTTGATCAGTTCATCTCCTTCTGCAGTTACCGAGAGCAATACAAGGAAAGGGCGTAAGAATATAGGCATTCTCAAGCAGGAGGAGTGCATTTCGAAGATACTAGTATAGTATTACTTACTTTCGACAATTTCCCTTGGCTTTCTGAGTTTTAAACATATCCAAATACAGAGGACAAGTGACAGAAGGCCGAAAACCGAAGCGACGATGACAATGATGATCATTCGAGTTTTGTTGCTCCTATTTCCATTTCCATTTCCATTTCCATTTCCTGCACAACCCAAAAGTTTCCACTCACAGCTTGAACTGTATATAATCTAATTATCTAATAGTACAATTACCCGGAAAGAAAAGAAGCACACTTTACCTTCTGGTGGAGAAGGTAAAGACAGAGGCGGCGGCGGCGGCGGCGGCGGTGGCTGAGGAATGCCTTCTACTGCTGCAAAAAATTGTTCGGTCTCATATCTCAAATTACAGCTAGGTTGTAGAATTCTGCATCCGATCCTCCCATTGCAGTAAGAATCGATCTTCCCGATTGCCGCTGTTAGACAATCGCTGCAATCCTTCTGCGATATCTCGGGAGTGCACTGCTCGAGAGCGTAAATTGTCAAAAAGAAACCCGGACCGGTCGTGTTACCCGCCGCATATTTGAGAAGAGATCCTCCGCCGGCCGCACGGCTGCTCAAGTTAGTCAACAAGGGTCCCAACGCCCGATTGAACCCACCAACATCCGACGCGTTGTTAACATTATACAAAATACGGGTAGGGTCGGATTCCATGGATCCAAAGAGTTGTTGACTTGAGTAGTGTAACGTACAGAATTCCGACCATCCGATTGCCTCTTTGTATTTGGGACATAGCCGCTCGAGTTCGGAGATGGTGTCGTTCAGGCAACTTCTGCAAGCGTCCTTCTTTTGGTCTCCCCTGCAAAGTCCGATTGCGTTGACCCGGTCTGGGCTCCGACCAACGGACAAATTGTAGAATCCATAATTGAAGTCTGTCGTGGTGGATAGCTGAGAAAACAGAAGGTTGAGGTTGGTCCTGTAAGTGCTGTTGGCGGTGAAGTTGCCATTATTGTCAACACAATCAGACTGGAAGTAGATATCCGCAGCAGAACTGAGACTTACAAGAAAAACGGAGGAAAATAAGATCAGAAAGAGTGCTGAAGATCCCATTTGCCTTTCTTCTAAAAGCCTCAAAACCCAAGCATTTAAGGGAAAATAGCCATTGATATCTGATGAAATTTCTGCGTAGTTTAATAAGCAATTATGAATAGATGGAGATTGGGGTGGTTTGGTGACAAAACCACTAATGGATGAACTTGACCACTCGCGCTTATGAAAATCATATTAAAGTGACTAATGAGGAGAATGAAAATTGGAGGGTAAGGATGTGATATAACTTATATTATTAAATTAATTATTATATATAATATTATAAATTTTTAAAAAATTAAAAAAATAAATTATTAAATAATATAAAATTTATTATTTAATATTTTAAATAATATAATTTACATCACATTATATATCTTAAATTTTAATTTTAAATTTTGATTTTATTTTTCATTATTCTATCCAAGCATTCATGGTCATTGGAAAGCATACCTTTAGCGTAATTAAATTGGTATTGTTGATTTTATTTCATCTTTTGTGTACTAAACCAATCTAAGAAGAATTTTCTAACTTACTCTTTGGGGTACTACTTAGTAAGTACTAAATTGAGTAACAGAGTATTAAATTGAGTAACAAAGGGTAGTTAAAGTAGTATCTTATGAGTCTTCTAGTTTTTACTATTAAGACTAAAAAGCCATCATTTATTTTTACTATTAGAATAAACTCTTTTTTTTTTTTTTTTACCTACCCCCTGGTTTTTTTTTTTTTTTTTATTAGTCCTGATATCCAAAAACCGCATTGGACCCTAACTAATTCAAAGTCGAGACAGGTCAAACCTCATATGGGGGAAAACTCTCTCAGCACTTATGTTTTTCATTTATAAGACTCGAATTTGAAATCTTGCCCCTCTCCTATTCCCCACTGAAGTTTAAAATTAATTAATGTTTGAAATTGTATACGGATTTTTCTAGCATGTATTTCATATTTTTGTCGTGAATATATATAAAAAATATAAAATTTAACATTAATTTTAGTATTGGCATTAAGTAAATAAATTTAATTAAATAATTAATAAATTAAAAGTAAACTTTTATTTTTTTAAAAAAATAAAAATTTATGATAAAAATATATATTTATTACATCATTAACATATATCCTAAGGGCATTACTTAGAAAAACACATGGTTTATTTCTCTTACTCCTCTACTTCAAAATCTAAATTTGGTTTTTCTAACATATGTTGTTGAAGCAAAGGTTAAGATGTGTAATTAATGCATTATAATTAATTTGTATGAAAAATGTAAGTGTTGATATTAAATTAATTAATTAACCAACTAAAATTATTTATGTGTATGGTGTTAAAATAAATGTCAATTTTTATAATTTTTTATGCAAATTAAGGCATAAGTTAAGATATATAATTAATGCACCACAGTTTATTTGTATGAAAAATGTAAATGTTAACTTTAAATTAATCAAATAATCAATTAAAATCATCCATATGTCAATAGTGTTAAAATAAATGTTAACTTTTATAATTTTTTAAGTAAATTAATTACTAAAAAATATATTTATTGCACCTAAAGACACAAATTAGATAATCCCATCTAAATTTTAAAAACCTTTTTTTTTTCTTTTCTCCATCACTTAGAACAAACTATTCCTAATTGTAAAATAGATTAAAATCTTTCTTTGTAAAATGGGCCTGAAATGCATAGGTCTAAGGAATGGACAACCTATTTTACTGGTTTCATTCTGATCATTTTTTACCAAAATATTTACAATGATTCTACCAAAAATTTAAAATCTATAC